ATGTGTTCATTGATGTTTGCTTTGCTTCAGCGTTCCTTACGAAGTCTTTGACATTATTTTTAGTTTGTAGTCTGAGGTGAAAACTTCTCAGAAACAAATAAGACCCCATTTCAGTGTGGTTTTCTAATGGAACTCAAACTCAGTCCAACAGTCAGTCGTAAAGGAAGTAAAAATTCAGGAACTAGGTGATCACCTGATTTTTGTTCTTTCTGTAGTTTCCTCATTAGTTGTTTTGCTCTTTGTGATTCTAGTAACTATGACCTAAAATACAGTATGTTAGATTTATTTTATTCTAGTGAATTCTTAATTTAAAAAACTACAAATCTATCAACTCACCCTCTTCCACATAGTTTAAATGTTCATTGTAGTTAAAACCCTCCTTAGTCAACATTTTGTCTTCCCCTCATAAGCCAGATAATCTTTTTAATTTCCACCTACATCTATAAAAGGGACGGGGAGAAGAAAATCCCAGCGCTGCAGGATCCAGTGACGAGAGCTTCCTGGTAATCTTTAATTGCTGAAAGTTGACCAGCTTTAATGGAACCTCTTCCTTATTCTCTTAAAACAGAACTGTGGCAGAATAGTGAGTACACAGCCCATGGTCCCGTTCCCCCTCCCCTCCTCCCGCACTGAACCCAGCCTGCTCCTAGGTGGGCATACGGAAGACCGTGTTCATTGCAAGCAAGCCTCAGAATCCTTTTCAGTACAGCATGTAGGGCAGCTATTGTTAGTTGATGTGAGATTCAATCTCTGGGTATCCTCTGTGGCCCTGAGACTGCCATTATAATTAAGAGGAATTCAGGACAGAAAGTGCCTCACTTCCACTCTGGCTTCACATGCTGAACCCTGTCTCCTTGTATTAAGACTTTTGTTTGTAAGCATGTGAAACTAACAATGCTAAATTAAGGTTTTGGAAGAATTCTAGGGTGTCTCATGGAATCAAAAGATGAGAACCCCAAGACTTGGGAAAGAATCATAATTTCATGCCTTATTCACTCTTTTCTACTCAGAATATAAGTACAGGTCTTCCTTTAAATAAATGCATTCAGTGAAAAGTCCAACTGATTAATAAGAAATTGCATTCCTGTTTTATTAATAATAAAAATCCTTTCTGCTTAGCTACCCAGAGTCATTAGGAGGTTATTTTTTTCCCTGAATATTTGAGTTTCTACTTTCTGTAATTGTAAAAACTTTAGAACTATTTTTAGATAGAAATCTTTCTCAAACACTTCTCTCCCTTATTCACTTCATCTCTTATTCTTTGTTCAAATTTTTCCTTATGATTTAGAAGTTACTCAGAAGGTGTTCTGGTAGGTGTTCTGTTTTGTATTGTAGTGATGCCTTTATTCATTGTCACTGCAGAACTTTTTGATTCAAGAATCACATTCCCTGCTTGCTGTCAGATGTCATCTCCTATTGCTGTCAACATGAGGTCCATTTATCCCTTTCTCTTTCATTTTTGTTTATCTTGCTGTGGGCCTCAACAGCAAATGCCGAAACTTCTCAAGATTGGGTATAAGTAAAGGGAAACTGTTTTTAGAATAAGGTCTAGAAGAACTCTCTCTTGAATAAAGTTTTTTATCTGTGGTATTTCATCTGACTATGCAGAGGCCTTTGAAAAACAAAAACAAAAACAGATTTAACTTCTGGGTCTCTACTGGGCTCCTTGAGTCCCAGGTAAGTGAAGTGTCAGGGAAATACGTTTTTAGAGATCGTAAGTTACTGAAGAACATTGGTTTTTTATTATTATCAGCTGGGTTTTTTTTTTCCATTTTTGCTTTTTAAAAATGGAAACCTCTAAAATGGCTTAAGTAGCTTTGCCCCCTTTGTTGTTAAATTAACAATGCTTACTTTGTTAGATAAATGTTGACTTGTGTACCTATTAATCCATTTATGAAAAGGATGGTTAGAAACAGAATGGTACATGTCAGCTGGGAATAAAAGAAGCACAAATCATTAAAATACTCACTTTACCTATTTTAATTCATGGTATGTAAATTTGAACAGTCTAACAAATACTGAATATTTTTTGTTTTTTATACTAAGTAAACTTGAAAAGATTGTTGTTAAACCTTTCATGGAAACAAATTATATGAGGGTGTCATATTGATGGATCCTATTTTAAAACAATCTTTGAAATAAGAAATAAAAGTGTTCTTGATTTCCCTCAACTTAAGGTAGTAGGTATCAGTTTTATTCATGTATTGAGAATTATTATGACAGTAGGCTAATTCAAATTGTACATGTCAATTTATAATAATGACTTTTAGTATGATTTGAAACATAAGAAATTTTGCAGGAAGTTGTACAGTGTTTTATAAGATATATATGTACACATGTATACATACATGTGTGTGTGTGTGTGTGTGCGCACATGCATATAAATTAAATAGTTATTTTGACATGGAGAAAACCAAGTTCCCTCGGTTCAATTAGGTGGTAGCTTTAGTTTCAATAATACATTTTTCTATATTTTTTTCTAAAAGCTTTGATACTTTATTTTTCCCATTTAGATCTGCATTCCATCTGGAGTTGGGTTTTCTATGCAGTGTGAGATAGTGGTCAAGATTAATTAGTTTTTCCGTATGGATGTCCAGTTGGTTCAGCACCATTTATGGAAAGGACCGTTCTTTCTTCCCCACACAGCTTTGTCATAAACCAGGCGACCATATGTGTGGATCTGTTTCTGGACTCAGTATTCTGTTCTTTGGTCTATTTATCTTCATGCCTGTACTATACTGTCTTAATTGTAGAGCTTTATAATCTTGACATCTGATAATGTAGATCCTTCAGCTTTTTTGTTCCTCAGTATTGCTTTGGTTCTTCTCAAGCTTTTATGTTTCTGTGTACATTTTAGAATCAGTTTGTCAATTTCCATAAAATTAAAACAAAAACCCTGCTGGAGTTTTAGTTGGGATTGCACTAAATCTGTGTATCAGTTTGAATAGAATTAACATCTTTATAATACTGTATCTTCCAGTCCATAAACATGATATATCTCTCCGTTTATTAAGATCTTTAATTTTTCTCAATACTGGTTTATAAGTTTCAATATAGAGATCCTGCACATTTTTTATTAGGTTTATTGCTAGTTATTTGGTATATTTTGGTGCTATTGTAAATAGTTCTGTATAATTTTATTTTCTATTGCTGGTATATAGAAGTAAAATTGATGGTTTATTTACTGTGTATACAGAGACTTTGCTAAAATTTGTATATTAATCCTAATAGCTTATCTGTAGATACTCTTGGATTTTCTATAGATACACATGTAATCATGTTATCCATGAATAACAATAGTTGTTTCTTCCTTTCTGATCCTTATATCTTCCATTTCCTTTTCTTGCCATATTCCGTCAACTAATAGGACCTCTAAGACTGTTTGACTAGCAGTGGTGGCAGTGGGCATTTTTGTTTAATTCTCTAACCTTAGGGGGAGAAAGCTTTTTAATAATTTACTATTAATTATGACTTCTTTCTAAGTTTTTCATAGGGATTTGTGATCAGATTAAAGAAGTTTTATTCCTAATTTGCTAAGTGTTTTTATTATTAGTAGGTGTTCAATTTTATCAGATGCTTTTCACGTGCAAGTGAAGACAATAGAATTTTTCTCCTTTTTTTTGTTAATTAGGTAGATTGTATTAATTGATAGTTTCAGTAATACATTACAGTAAAATTGGAAGTTAATTGCAGTTAACAACCAAAGAGGGAAAAAAGAAATTTAAAAAATGTTAAACTTGATGATTATAGGAATTTTTTCAAAATTCTTAGATTTTTCAAAAATTATATAGAAATTTAATCCATTTGTAAATAGATCTTTTCTAATAAACATTGAATCTTGAAGTCAATGAGAATAACTTGCAACACTAAAAATGCCTCTTGGGAACACAGCACAAAACAATCAAAAAAGTGTTTGAAAAGTATTTTCTATAACAATGGAAAAAGTGTTCAAAAGCACTTGGAAGAAAGGGCAAAATGAGTCTGGAACTTAAGTAATTGGGAAGTGGGTAAATTTAAAAATCATTCCTAGTTTCTAATATTCATCTATAACCACTTTTGATTCAGTTATTCTGTATATACGTACTGTCAGAGGAATGATTGGTTTTTGTTTGCCAGAGTTAGTGGAAACACTTTTTTTCCTCGGCTTAGCTAGTCATCAGATAATTGTGACTTCTGTTTCTTTCTGCAGCATATTTTGACTACAAAGATGAGTCTGGGTTTCCAAAGCCTCCGTCCTACAATGTGGCCACAACACTGCCCACTTACGATGAAGCTGAGAGAACCAAGGCCGAGGCCACTATCCCTTTGGTTCCTGGAAGAGTAAGTCCAGTTCACCATGTTCCTTGGTGGCTGCTTTATGGGAATTAAGCTCTTTTCAGAAGGCACTTATGATTTCTTACTTGTGATTATAGTGATCCGTAAAAATACAGCTGATTGTAAACCACTAGTTCGTTTCCTTTTGGGTTAATACATTCTTACCTCTTCCTGACAATAAAAGGTACAAATGAGCAGCAAATCACTAGTTGAGTAGCACATTTTCCCTGCCTCCACTACTACCACTGCTTTCTTAAGTCTCCTGCATGGCTGAAACGTCTTGGAGCAGGAGCTGATTTAGGAAATACACTGACTTTGCCGTAATTCTGCAGACTTACATTTTGGTGTTAGGTAGATAGCTGCTAGGAAGATCTATGGAGAGAATAAATAAGTGCAACTTCATAGAATTAAACTTATCAAAGGGTGCTCTCATTTATCTAGGTGAACACCATGCCACCAGCAGTCCAGTTCATGCCATCTGTGGGGGCATAGTGATTTCACATCCCATCTGGCCTGATGTTCATGGCAGTGGGGTAGGGTGTGATGAAAGCCAGCTGGAGACTTTTGGGTACTCTTTGTCTCTGATGTCAGACCTGTAAGTGATGCAGATGTTGGTTCATAAATATTTATCCAGGTGACTGATGCAGGCAGGGCATTGGACCTGACACTGGGAGAATGAAGAGCAGGGTCCAGTCCCTAGGAATGTGGAGCAGGCAGGGCTCCAGGCCCTAGTCCTATTCAGATAAGCAATCTAGAGTATAAGATAAGGACAGGAACAGAAGCTCCCCCTGGGTAAGTACAATGGCATAGGCCCCAGAATTTCGGGGCTTAGAGTAGTGGACTGTTCACAGACCACACCTGCTATGAAGGGAGGAGCTCCTAAAACAGCTGTTTGGTAGAAATAGTAGTTTATAAGCCCAGTCCAGGGTGATTCTACATGGGGATGTGCATTGAGTTTTTGTAGATGCCAGACAGGACTTAAGAACCCTCATGGAGCTTAGTGTCTAAGGGTAAAACAGTCTTGATGTAATTACCATTGGATGCAGATGACATGCTCAGGACTGTGCTCTGTGACTTACGTATTTTGTATATTGTTTCCAGTCCTCACAATAACCTCACAAGATAAAGGTGATATTATCTGCATTTTACAGATGCAAAAGTTGAGGTCCAGAGAGATTAATTTGCCCAAAGTCATACAGATAACAAGTATCACTGATGAGAGTCAAACCCAGATATTTTAGACTCCAAAGTCCTTGTACTCTATAGACCTCTTGGAATAGGTGGTAAGTGTCCCATAGAAATAGACCAGGTGATTAGCGCTGATTAATTACAGAACTCTTCAGAATACTTTTATTTGAGAAATATACTTTTTTAGGGACCTCTTAATGGGTTCTATTATTCAGCATTCATGTATAGAACACTGTTTTAGACAATGTACTATTATGTATTTTCCAGTGGATCGGTAGAAAGCTTTGTCTAAAGTAATGTTCCTGCCATAGAAGAGCTTGAAGCCCAGCTGGGGAGCAGGTGCACAAGTACCCGTATCTCAGGGGCAGCACTAGAGCAGTGAGGATTAAGACCTGTGGCTTCTCACCATGTGATTGTGGGGAGGATGACCAGGTGCAGGGCAGGTTCTGGGGATGTAGTAATTGGTTTTGCTTGAGCAGAGAGTTTGTGACCAGACTTAGGTTGTAGAATTTTGTGAATACTAAGCTGAGGCATTTAGACTTACATGTAGGTCACATAAACTCCTTCAAAGGTCTTAAGCAGGGGTGTGATAAGACAAGTATGGTTTTAGAAACATTAACATGGCAATAACTTGGAGAAGGAAATCATTGTGGTAGTGATACCATGGACAGAACAGATAGAAGGCATTTGCAATACTATTAGAAAATAATTCCATATATTTTTATAGAATATCTTTGAGTAGTTACGCAAAAAACTAAATTGGTTTCTAATTTGGAGAAGCCTTATTTAAACTTCTAATAGGAAGTCAGAATATTAGGTATTTAGTATTTTTAGAAACTTAAACACATTCTTCTAAAAATTTCACACAATAGAGGAAATGTGTTGTTAGAAATGGAAGCCGCCATCACACTTCCTGTTTCTCTAGTTTCCATTCCGCAGGGGAACCACCGTTAACAGCTTGTTACGGACTTCTCAGCCCCCTTTTTGTGTAGGGCAAGTTTTGATTGCCCCTAAATTTTTTTTCTTCATTTAAGGAACCCTCATTATATTGTATACAAGCCTATTGCTTTTAAGCATGTATTTATTTATTTTCTAATATCTCAACATATACCCACATTAGTTGAAAAGGTAGGCTGCATATGTTGATGTCCATATATGTTGATGTCAAGATATGTTCCATCTAGACTTGTAATATTATCTTTCAAATTAGGATAGAAAGGGCTCCTACCTGCCAATAAGATTGGAAGTAAGGTTGTTTCAGACCAGTATATCAATGTAAACAAATGGTAGTGGAGTAGAGCGATGGGCGGCCCTATGGCCTTTTCATGTCCGATCACCCTATTCTTTGTTCTTCCACAATAGGCTCATAAAGCATGTGAGCTAGTGAGTTGTATTTCCTTAGCAGGCTCTGGATTACTAACACTCTGGACCTTAACAGGCCCTGGATTAGTGATAATTCTAGAATTTAAGCCAAATGTGTAAGTAAATTTTCTTCTTTTTTCTTTAGATATATGTAAGAGTATATAGTTCTTCTTGAACTTTGTAATTTTGGACTGTATTGTTAAAGAATTTGGATTATAAAATGAAAAATTCCTTTCATATAGAAAACTATGGAGATAGGAGAAAACTATGTTTTTTTCTATAATTATATCTTATAAGAAAATAACATTTTTAACACCTAGCCTTAATGCTTATAGTTTTGAATTGAGTCAAAGAAGTACATTTTCTTCCTGGTACTCACTTTGGTCTCTTCTCTGTTTTCCTTGATGTCTTTCCTTTGCTTAGAAATAGTTCCCTGTGAACTTACCTTACTCTTTTTCTTTTCATTTAGGATGAGGATTTTGTGGGTCGGGATGATTTTGATGATGCTGACCAGCTGAGGATAGGAAATGATGGGATTTTCATGTTAACTTTTTTCAGTAAGTATAGACACACAGCAGAACTACTTCCCACAAACCTGAGTGCTTTAGATTATGACTGAATTAAAATTACTAGTTGAGCTAACATTTTAATACATTGTGTATATTTGATTCCTTTTACTGAGATGCTCAGAACTTAATACCCACTTACCTGATACCATTTCTACTCATCTTCTATTTCTTTGGATAGTCTATGGAAAACGTAATTAAAGCAGTTATGGGGATTCTGTAGTTTTACACGAGCTAAGCCTCATCTTTCAGGTCTACAGGGCCCCTTAGTATTGCTCCTACTCATATCTGGCCTCTATGGTAGGAATTAAATGCCTTTGATGAATTTTGTAAGTTTCTATTTTTTAAGTGAGCCTGAGTTTTTTCCTTCTTGATGTTAGTTTCCATTTATCTTTCGATGTGCCTCACTTAGAAATGAGCAACCATTTCTTTTATTTGCTATATTAAAAAGATCATAAAGGAAATGCAGTGCCTTTAGAGGTGATGTTGTTATGTAAGCCATCAAAATTCATAGAAGCAGGGGGAATGAATGACTTGAATCAGATTATTTGAGAGCATTAATTTCATGTTCAAGGCATTTACTTTATTAGCTGAAGTTAACACATACAGCAAAAGGCAGAAGTCCTAAGTATACATTATATACTGGTTAATGTTAAGGCATTTTTGAGAGTAATAGCAGTAGACATAATGCAGGCATATCTCAGAGATACTTCAGATCCAGTTCCAGATCACAATAGTGAACACTGCAATAAAGCAAATAAAATCAATTTTTTAGTTTCTCAGTGCTTATAAAAGTCATATTTACATTATAGTCTGTTAAGTGTACAATAGTATTATGTCTTAAAAAACAATGTACGTACCCTAACTTAAAAATGCTTCATTGCTCAAAAATGCTAAGCATCATCTGAGCTTTTAGTGAGTTGTCATCTTTTTGCTGGTGGAGGGTCTTACCTTGATCTTGCCTGCTGACTGATCATGTTAATGGGTGCTGAAGGTCGGGGAGGCTGTGGCAATTGCTTAAAATAAAGACAACAGTGAAATTTGTCACATCAGTGGACTCTTTCTTTTACAAACAGTTTCTCTTGCGCATGTGATGCTGTTTGATAGCATTTTACCTACAGTAGAACTTCTTTCAAGATTGGAGTTAGTCCTCTCAAATCCTGCCGCTGCTTTATCAACTAAGTTTATGTCATATTCTAAATCCTTTGTTCTCATTTCAACAGTCTTCACAGCATCTTTACTAGGAGTAGATTCTGTCTCAAGAAACCACTTTCTTTGCTCGTCCAGAAGGGGTGCCTTCTCATCTGTTCACGTTTTATCATGAGATGCAGCTTTCAGTCCCGTCTTCAGGCCCCACTTCTGATTCCAGTTCTCTTGTGTTTCTACCACCTCTGCAGTTACTGCCCCTTGAGCCGCTCCACGTCATCCATGAGGGTCGGAAACAGTTTCTTCCCAACTCCTGCTTATGCTGACATTTGACCTCTTCCCATGAATCATGAATGTTCTTACTGGCACCTAGAATGGTGAATCCTTTCCAGAAGGTTTGCAGTTTAGTTCTCCCAAATCCACCAGAAGAATCACTCTGCGGCAGCTTAGCCTTATGAAATGTATTTCTTAAATAATAAAACTTGAAAGTTGAAATTGTTCCCTTGATCCGTGGGCTATACAATGGATGTCATGTTGCAGATATGGAAATGACTTTCATCTTCTTTATGTCTCCTTCAGAACGTTTGGGTGATCAGGTGCATTGTCAGTGAGCAGTAATGTTTTAAAAGGAATTTTTTTATGAGCAGTAGGTCTAATGATGGGTTTAAAGTATTCAGTAAACCATGTTGTGAATAGATGTGATATTATCCAGGCTTTGTTGTTCCATTTATGGAACATACACATGGTAGATTTAGCATAATTCTTAAGGGCTCTGGGATTTTCAGAATGGTCAATGAACATTGACTTCAACGTAAAGTCACCAGCTACATTAACCCCCAACAAGAGATTGAGCCTGTCCTTTGAAGCTGTGAAGCTAGGCGTTGACTTCTCTCTAGCTGTAGCAGTCGTAGATGACATCCTCTGACATAGGCTGCTTCCTCTAATGGGAAGTCTGTTTTTAGTGTAGCCGCCTTCCTGAATTACCTGAGCTGGATCTCCCGGATAACTTGCTGCAGCTTCTGCATCAGCACTTGCCGTCTCACTTGGCACTTTTATGTTATGGAGGCAGCTTCTTTCCTTACACCTCGTGAACCCACCTTCGCTGGCTTTTCTTCTGCAGCTCCCACGCCTCTCTCGGCCTTCACAGAATTGAAGAAGGTTAGGGTCTTGCTCTGGATCAGGCTTCGGCTTAAGGGACTGCTGTGGCTGGTTTGATCCTCCATTGTGACCTCTAAAACTTTCTCCATATAAGCAGGAAGTCTTTTTTGCTTTCTGATCATTCATGGGTTGTTGGAGTAGTGCTTCTCATTTCTTTCAGGAACTTTTCCCTGGCATTCACAGCTTATCGGCCAGCTGATACAAGGGGCCTAGCTTTTAGCCTCCCGGCTTTTGACTTTCATGCCTTCCTCACTAAGGCGAATCATTTCTGGCTTTTGATTTAAAGTGAGAGATGTGCAGCTCTTCCTTTCACATGAACTCAGAGGCTATGATGGGGTCATTAATTGGCTTATTTCAGTATAGTTGTGTCTCAGGGAATAGGGAGGCCCAAAGAGAGGCTGAGAGACAGGAATGGCCAGTCTGTGCAACAGTCAGAATGCGAACATCCATCAGTTAAGTTTGCCGTCTTATATGGGCATGGCTTGTGGCACCCCAAAACAATTACAATATTAACATCAAAGATCACTGATCACAGATCACCATAAGAAATGTAATAATAATAATTAAGTCTGAAATATTGTTTGAATTACCAAAATGTGACACAGAGACATGAAGTGAACAAATGCTGTTGGAAACATGGTGCTGATAGACTTGCACAGTGTGTTGCCACAAATTTTTAATTTATAAAAAAAAAAGCAACACAATATCTGCCAAGTGCAATAAAGGGAAGCGCAGTCAAGTGAGGTATGGGGCAGTGTAACACCTCATGCTCAGGGAGGGCGCTCTTGTTTGCCTTGGGGAAGAAGAGGCTGGGTATCTGCAGAAGTGGATGGAAAGAGGTGTGGGCGTGTCTCGGCTTTTATCCCTGGGAGAGCCATGTGAGCAGAAGCAAGTGTCGGGGACACCCTTGCTCTTTGGGTGCCAGGACATGTCTGACATCTTTTTTCTCTCTGCTTTTACAGTGGCATTCCTTTTTAACTGGATTGGGTTTTTCCTGTCTTTTTGCCTGACTACTTCAGCTGCTGGAAGGTACGGGGCCATTTCAGGTTTTGGTCTCTCTCTGATTAAGTGGATCCTGATTGTCAGGGTAAGTTGTACACCATCTAGACAGACTCTTTAGAGAAACAATAAATAGAATAACTTTTGGATATTTGATTTAAAAATTTTTTATTTTTTATTTTTATTTTTTGCATTATCTGAACATTTAAAAGAATTCTTGGTTTGTCTTTCTTCTGGTTTCATGAAGTTGGACCTAAATCGGTTGCAACTGATTAATGCACACAAATTTTGTAGTCAAATCCAGTGAATATTGGTGGTCTGAGGATATCTACAATTGTTCACTGGCTGCTCTCTTTGTTTTTAATGTTCGTACTATGATAATATATCAGTTCTAAAATTAGTTGCTTTTATAATAAAAGGAAGAATATCACCTCTCTGCTGTCTCTTTCTTCTTCCCCTTTTCCCTCGTTTCTTTTCTCCCTTCCTCCCTCCCCTGCAGATGGGTCATGAGCAGTGTGATTGGTCATGCAGAATGTTTGGGGGGCCAGACCTGTTTAAGGGGTGCTGCTCCTTAGGGGCTTTATCTCTGAAGTGAATTAGAGATCTTCAGGGAGTTACCAGTTAGTCGGAATTGCATGAAGTAATTTAAATTAAAATTATAAAAGATCTGACCTCCTAAATTGTCCTCTGATTTCAGATGAGTTCATTACTGTTCTCAGCTTCATAGATAAAACCCCAGTGTTTTCATCATAAGTTGGCATTATTAAGTAATTAATGGGTGTTGACTGGCCACTGGAGTTTACAAATTTAAGTATTCTAAAGCATTTGTTAACATTTTTAGGATTCCAGGTTCCTTTAAGAATCTGATAATGGGTTTTCCCCCAGACAGATAATATCTACTTAACCTAAAACATGGACTTTAGGTTAAGAACCCAAGCCTTAAAGAGGTTTTTCATTCCTTCCCTGAATCTTAATTATTTTGTTACGAAATAAAATACTCCATTTTAGTGCTCAAAGTGTGTTAAACTCTTAGACACCACAGCCCTCAATAGAAGATATAAAATTAGTTACTAATTTTTTTATCTTAATGTTTAACTAAATTGACTAAAATGTTTAACTGCATTGAATGAATCGACTTGTATCAGTTAGGATGGCTGTGTCTGCACGTAACAGATACAGAAACACTGGGAAAATGCATACAAGTCCCGCCCTGTAGGGTCAGTCAGTGTCTCAGTGACGCCATCAGGGACAGCCGACGTTTCTGCCGAGTGCCCGGTGTGGCCGCACCTCCCTCAGGGCTGCCGCCTCCTCAGGCATCACATCAGAAACGCAATAGGGGCAACGGCAGAAAGGGGCTATTCCTGCTCTTCCTTCTCCCCCAGAGCCAGGAGCCCCTCAGCGGCCCTCCTCCCTGTTGGCCGCCCTCGCGTTCTGTGCCCGGCCCAGGGACGGGGTGGTCACGGTGTGCGTGATGAAGCTCCCGAGTCAAGGCCTGGCTGGGGGGGCGGGAGCAGAAACAGGGCTCATTAGAAAGGAGGCCGAATAGTTGGTTTTGGCACGGGATAAGCAAAGTAAAATTACCGTTAAAACATCTAGAAGGACAAATGTATGGACCCTAAAAAAAGATTGTTTAAAAAAAATTTTTTTTTGAGCGCTTTCAAAACAAGGAGTCTGTGAAGCTGAAAGCTGTCTTATTTCAAGATTGCTGTTCCTTGGGAGGAAATATATTTGCATATATCATAACCACTGCAAATAAGTAATATAGAAAATGCTTTCACTTAAAAAAAAATTACCGTAAGAGCTAATGACAGCACTTGTGTACAAAACAGTTTTGTGTGTTCTGGGTCCTTTAAGCTAAAATGTGAAATTTTATCTGCTAAGCTTCTATAAAATGTTCTGCTTTATATTTCAGTTTTCCACCTATTTCCCTGGATATTTTGATGGTCAGTACTGGCTCTGGTGGGTGTTCCTGGTTTTAGGTAAGTGCTTTTAACACTTAACCTAAAGAGAAAAGGTTATGTTAAATTTTAAAATGAAATTACTTTTTGTAAACCCTCATCTTGCTTACTCTACAGTAATATAATATTCAGAAGTAGTAACTATAATTTTCAAAATACTCCTCTGAAAGCTTAGGCTGTTGTCACCATCAGAATAACATGCATGCTAATAAAATGTCTCTTAGGTCTTTCCTAATGCATCCAGGTACTCAGGTACCCCGTGCGTCCAGTGGAGCGTGCTGATATGGGGACTTGAGGGTCTGGATTTTTTCTCCTTGTGAGTTGTTGCCACAAAGGGCTCACAAACTCAGCCCCAATTGTTTATAGGCCTATTGTAACCAGTTGAACTACTCATTGAGTGTATGTGGCCCATCTTCGTTGCATCTGTTGGTAGAAAACAGAAAATGTATAACCTTGCTAGATACAACTTCTGGAAGAACCACTGTTAACTTTCCAGAATTCTTAAGTTCACTACTGATGAGAATAAGAACTAATTGGGAGAAGGCCTTTTTTTTTTTTTTTTAATATGCCAGGCATTTCAGGTTGTTGGTCTTAAGATTGTATTTTTATATTTTAAAATCTTTTCAAGACATTTTAAAGCAAAGAAGTGAACGTTGGAGTGAGTACTTGTTAGCTTCTTCAGTCTTTGTAAGAAAAAAAATATATGCTACAGTGACAGACCACTCTCACAGCTGCCATTTCTCCAGGCAGTGGCAGGGCCATCCTGTAGTCAGTAAAGATGGCATGACTGCCTCACTCTGCTTTCTCTGATACCAGTCTTCTCCTGTCTCTTGTTTCGGGCAGCTTGTTGCCGCCTCATTGTGCTCCTAGGTGGTCGTGCTACTAATGGATCTGGCTAGCAGGGCAGCACCCATGTCCAACGGGGGCTTAATATTCATGACCTTCCTGCTTATTAGCCTTTGGTGACAGAGCCATACATTGCTGACCTCAAATTTTACTTAGGAAGTACAAGTCATCCATCATACCGTCTTCCATTTCCCCCAAAGCATCATCTATTCTATTATTAGTCACTGGAATCCAGGGAAAGGGTAATGATCCTCCATTCCTTCATTACTGAGAAGCTGATAATAACAAGTCTACCAGAGAGTTACTTGGGAGGAATAGTTCCTTGGCTTGCCTACTGTGTAAGCTGTGTCTTTAAGAGACGACCGCCTGCCCCCCTTCCCCCACGCCTGAAGTCCAAGCAAATCCTGAGTGGACCAAAGGAGAGCCATAAAGTATATGTTTAGGTTGATTGGTGGTGGTATGGGTAACTTAAAGGAAGTTAATGGATTGATTTCCTCCCTATATTAAAGTTTCATGGGAGATGAATTTATAATACATTACCACTGATCGGTCTTGATATCTTACTGATTCCTAGTAAGCAAAAAGTGGCAAGAATTTTAATGTATGGAATGCATTTGGACCCAATGTTTGGGTCATTTTTGGAACTTCTCTTTCAGACAGAAACGATTTTGGGGGAGTTTTTCCTGCAAGGCAGGTTTACACAGAGCTTTCAAGCTGGCAATTTATAAACTACATCTCACTTATAGTTGTTGTTCCACAGTTGTTTTCAGACATTTTATAAAATGGCTGAATTCCTTTACTTTTCTTAAAAATTAGAATATCCAGCACAGCTGGCCTGTCCCCGCCCTTTGACTGCCGCTGAGTTGTAGCTGTCCCTCCCTTCAGGTTAGGTGCTCTCCAGTTCACTGGGATCCCCCCACCCAGCATTTGAGGAGGTGGGTGACTCCTGCTCTATAGTCACTTGTTTTTGGTGCCAAACAGAATGGTGTTCACTGAGCTCAGCGCTGATGACTGCTGGTTATTGCCAAAAGTCAGTTCTGAATACAGAGTTTTGTACTTAAGTGTTTTAAAATATATCCAAAAGAAAGTGGTTGCCTAAGACTGGGGAGAAGGAAAGAGGGAGCAGATGAAGGGAGGGGGGGGTAGGTGACTGTTATTTTTGTTTTAAAATGTTCTAAAATTAAATCATGGTTTCGGTTGTACAACTTCGTAATTATACCAAAAACCAGTGAGTTTGTACATGGACTTAACGGTGAACTGTGAGTTTAGTTGAGTGTGTAAGAATTGTTGTAATAGGTAAGGGAATCCTGACATCTAGTGGACAACGTTATGTACTGTCAACAGGAAAAAAAATCCTGTGACGAGACAGGATGAAATTTTTTTTTGAGAAGAAGTTTTTGATCTCTTTATTTTATTTATTAGTTAATTATCTTGGGATGCTTTTTTAGAACTTGGAAGATAGGTTTTGACAATGCTTCAAAATGAAGCTTCCAAATACACATGTTTGGGCTCCATCTTATTTTCTATTTCATTTTTAGACCAATTAGATTCTGATTGTGCAGAAGAGGTTTTTATTTGGCCCTGAGATTATGTATCCTTATTGAGAAATGGAAAATTTGGTGCGAAAATCCTTTGGAAATTTTGGAGGAAATTGCTCATGTTTTGATAGCTTTTAGCAGAAAAACGATGCCATGCTATTGAAAGGGATATTTCTGGGGAGAGGACTAATGGGGAAATTATAAATTCATTCTTGACTTTTCTTTTTTAAATTAGGTTTTCTCCTGTTTCTCAGAGGATTTATCAATTATGCAAAAGTTCGGAAGATGCCAGAAACTTTTTCGAATCTCCCCAGGACCAGAGTTCTCTTTATTTATTAAAGGTATTAAAGGAAAAGAACCTTAATTCTAGTACCAGTGTAATTGTGTGATGCATTGCAGATTTCCGCTGTGGTTTAGAGTGTACCCCCTGTGGTGGGAGGATAGAGAAGGTAAAGAAGCTACAGTCTTTGCCTTTTAGCTGTTTCTAGTTTAGTAAGAAGTGTCTCTATAAAAAGCTGTTGAAAAGGCAAGTTAGAAAAACTGCCGTAGGAGGAAATGTTATCTCATGGAGGAAATGTTATCTCATGTTCTGACGACGCCGAGGAGGCAGAGGATCAGTAGCCATCAGAGAGCTAGGGTATCTGGCTGGGACTTAGGGGCCTGGATCTTTGAATCTAGAATCCCAGAGCCCCTGCTTACTGTTGTTCGGGTTCCAGAGGACAGTACTGAGAAGAGCCCTTCAGGCCTAATCACTCCGCCTTAATTACACAGGCCCCCTGAACCCGAGAGCTGGGAAGAGGATGTCCTTTTGCCCAGGCCACTGACAAGCCCCCCGCAGCCTCTCACAGTCCGTCAGGGAGGTGTTCCTGGTGCCTTCCTTCTGGTTCACACCCTGACGTGCCTATTCCGGTGGTGAGGAGGTCCCAACCCAAGGGAAAGGAGGGGAGAAGGGACCTTTCCCCCCGCTTAGAACAGGAGGACTAAGCCTTGCTGAGACTTGTCTTTGCTTCACAAGTGTTTTTCCCCAGAGGCTATCTCCATCTTCTGTCAGTAGCTGCAAAAAGGACAAGATAAGGGGTCTTGGGAAAGAGAATGCCATAGAGAGGCCTCTCTGGAAACCAGATCCAGCAGGCCTTCTGGGGCTTCGCTCCTCGCGTAAGAGTGTTGAGGATGGGGGGATCGTGGAGGGGCACGTTGAGATACACCATAAATAATAGGTAGAATTTCTGCTAGTGGAAATTTGGGATATGTGGAGAAGAGTTTCAGTATCATCTAGAGCAGAGTGAAGAGCAGAGATAGAGGAAAGGAGGCAAGGAGCTTACGCGAGGGGCAGCAGTTTGTGCATAAAGTCGTGCTGAAGGCCAAGGCTGGAAAGTCAGGTTGAGACAGTAATTCTCAGAAGTTTGAGAAGCACATTTGCAGTGGAACCATAGAATTCAAGAGCAGCCCTTTAAACCTAGTGACATGCTGGCTTAATGCAAGGCTAGTCCTATGTGAACATTAATTTGTTCTGTACTTGCTGTTGGGTTATCATAGTTTATATAGGTAATCATACGCTAAGAATGGAGTTCGCTTTTGAACATACATTCTTCTAGAAAGGAAAGTATCCGCCATATTTAATTTGCTAGTGTGTTGGGACAGCATTGAAAGTTTTTAAGCAACAGAATAATTTGATGATAACTTCTTGAATGTAACAATTATTTTTAAGTGTAGTATCATGATCATAACAGCTAGCATCATCAACTTTTCCATATTTAGATACTATATTAATCACTTTATTTGTATGTAGCTAACAGGAGATTATAGTGATAGATAAGCTCAAATATAAATGTATGGTGGAGTACAATTGAACCTTAATGCAGGTTTTAAGCTGCATAGGTCTACTTATATGCAGTCTAATTTAAATATATTAGACAGTTTTTTCTGAGACCTGTGATAATTTGAAAAAACATTCTTCTCTCGCTGCTTTATTATAAGAATACAGCATTTAATACATATAACAGACAAAATATGCATTAATTGACTATTCAGGTTATTGGTCAAGTTGCCAGTCAAGAGTAGGCTATTAGAAGGATAAGTTTTGGGGAAGTCAAAAGTTATATGAGGATTTTTGACTGTGAGGGGGTCAGCTCCCCTCACCACTGTGGTGTTCAAAGGCCATCTTATAAAAGTTAAAGCATACAAAGAACTTAGGCTTGTGTTGGTTAAAGTCAGTTTCTTTCTTCAAGAGACATGTACATCTATTTGAAAGAAAATTTTAAGAGTACCACTTTTGTTTATGATTTTTTTTTTTAAGAAGGAGAATGGTTTATTGCATGTTAAAAATTGTGGGGCATGTCCTGAATTTGAATTAGGTGCAAAGTCTGGGCACAGATGGACGTGGACACCGCTGGCTGAGGCTCTGTGCCTGTGTTTGTGTTTCGGGCATCCTAACCTCTAGAGGCTCATCAGATGTTCTGTGCAGTCAGATGCAATTACAGTGTTGGTTAAAGTCAGTTTCTTTCTTCAAGAGACATGTACATCTATTTGAAAGAAAATTTTAAGAGTACCACTTTTGTTTATGATTTTTTTTTTAAGAAGGAGAATGGTTTATTGCATGTTAAAAATTGTGGGGCATGTCCTGAATTTGAATTAGGTGCAAAGTCTGGGCACAGATGGACGTGGACACCGCTGGCTGAGGCTCTGTGCCTGTGTTTGTGTTGAGGGCATCCTAACCTCTAGAGGCTCATCAGATGTTCTGTGCAGTCAGATGCAATTACCATTGTCGTCTTTTTCTTCCCTCTACATGTCTGACTGTGATTTGTAATTCCTTCTGAGCCTTAGGTTTAACTCTTGCCTACCGAAGATTCAGAAGTTTAATTCTTTTGGTTGCCACAGTTCTTCTTAGAAAAGGCACTGAAATCACCTACAGATTTCCCCTAATCCATTGGAGCCCCAAATACCCTGAGGGCACAGATTTGTTTTTTTAAATAATAGACTCTGTATACTTAGTCTGTCTAATGGTAGCTTTGAATTTCTAAATGGGCTGGGATCACACCTCTGTTTATTCTGTTCATCAGTTAGAGGGAAATTTCGATCTTTTTAAAGAGATTGTATACTTCCCTTATCTTGCTTCTAATACATAACAACAACCAGGTTGGGAGAAAGCCTGAACTTCTCAGAATTATCTACATTGTTAGGAACTTTATTGAGAGGTTTAGTTTATAAAATTTGTTTTGATTTTTTTTAACTTCTGAAATGTTTTATGGGAATATTCTAAATGTAAAACAAAGCATCTTTTAGGGTTATGTAGGCAGTCCTTAGTAATAATGCTGTTGAACTTGTGAAGGGAGGTTTGGGGCTGCTGTTCTCTGTGTTTAGGAGTCAGAAGCCTTATAGTGCTGCAGGATTGTCAGAAACTTGAGGTAGGGTTTCCTTCCTTTTCTAACTTTGATATTCTAGTTGATTTACAGTCATTCCAGACATGCCCAGAGGATCAGAGCTCTAAATTAAGGGTTCAGGGACTTAGAGCAGCATTTAGAATTTTGATGACTTCTTTACTAGTTTTCAGTGTTCCTATAGGTGACCTGAAAAGCTGTAATAACCCATGGGGCTGAATTCCCTTTGTCCCTTGATGGGGGTAGGAACTGTCCATTTCGATCCAAATGTAGAGTGTTTTACTTCTCTGGTTCAGAGGAAATTTAGTTTAGTTTGAAGTTGTGTTAGAAAATCGTCATATAAAGTATGAAGATCGTACTTTCTTTCATTGAGACTTCTTAACTTTTTAAATCAAGATGTCACTAGTTAAAAGCTAGCTAGCTGCCATAATGAGATATCACCTCACACCAGTAAGGATGGCCACCATCCAAAAGACAAACAACAACAAATGGTAGCGAGGTTGTGGAGAAAGGGGAACCCTCCTGCACTGCTGGTGGGAATGTAAACTAGTTCAACCATTGTGGAAAGCAGTATGGAGGTTCCTCAAAAAACTCAAAATAGAAATACCATTTGACCCAGAAATTCCACTCCTAGGAATTTA